AGGAAGGGGCAGCTCACTGGGAACCCAAGTCCACTTAGCTGTCCCTGACTGCCTGCCTGTCTCTGGTAGGGCAGCTGAAGTCAATCAGAGTCCACTTCTGGCCACGCTCAGACCCGTATTCCCTGTCTTGGCACTGTGAGGGTAACAGCAGCCTTCCTTAGCTGACAGGGGTTTTCCTTTGGGAAGTCCAGGTCATAGCCATGGCCAGGTACCCCTCAAGCCTGGGTCAGCCAAGATGCAGCTGGGAAGCCCTTCTTTAGGGAGGTAGTATTTCACCCACAGTAGTTTAAGAATGCTGAAGAGCCACAGACCAAAAGGACCACTTTCAGAGCCATAATTCAGGGCTCTGGCCATGAGCTCAGCTACTAACATGCACAAGGTACTGGTTTTATCCCTAGAACCAAATAAACCGGGTGTGGTGGTACATGCCTGTGATCTCAGCACTTGAGAGAAGGAGGCAAGAGGACCAGAAGTTCAAGGTTATCTTCCACTATCAAACCAAGCTTGAGGCCAGACTGAGATACATGAGGCCTTGTCTCCAAGACCAACCAACCGGCCAATTCCCAAACAACCAAACATAAAAAACCAAGCCCAGTTCTGTGTTTCAGTCTGCTTGGTTACGTTTGTTCCTGGGCTAAGTACTATATCAAGGTGACTTTTGGGCTAGCAGACCCTCTTTCCCCAGTGGTATTTTCCATGTGACATTTTCCCACAAGTCAGCTCTGTCATTTTATTCTCTTTCTCTTTGACCGACAATTTGCGTTGCTAGGTCACTTTTCTAGGCCACTTTGCCATCACCTGCCTTGGTAGGACGCACTCCAGAGTGATCACGGCCCCTTCCACCTGTTCTCATCCCTGGCTCCAGACTCGGGAGGAGCCTGTGCCTGCTGCCACTGTGTCAGACAAAACATTGACTTTGGAACCTTTACACTCTCTAAAATTATGCTGTTTAAAGTTATTTTTTTGCCATTTGTAAATGAATCAGTATCTTTACAGCCCCTGGGTTTTAATTTCTAATATAGCGAATAGAGATACTTATGACCATATAAACAACAGCTCCTTGGCATCCTCAGTCAGTTTTTAGAACTATAAATATTAATAATTTCTCAATAATATATATTTAAAATAAAACAAACAGGGAAGGGGAGTATATATTTTCATGTATTATAAATGCCTTTAATATATGGGTCAAGAGAAAATGCTAGATTTATGTACCTGCTTTTTCATTCAGTCTATTCAATATGTGGTCTTGGATGAAATACATATATTACTAGTAATATAAAACATATAACATGTTATTACTATACACCACTGAATATTATATGCATTCTCAATGTAACATATATATATATATATACATACACATACATACATATAAACACACACATTATATAATAGCCTCACAGAGGCAGAATAAAGAAACCATCGGATTCTGAGAATGATTCTTAGTAACTGCAAAAATCCTTGGACCTCATTATCTGGAGCAATGCTCTACCCTGATTCTGTGCCTTTTCTCCCTTGATGATTCTTGTAGACCCTCTTCTCCTTGTGAGAATTCAAGCCCCTCAGCTGGGACCACATGGAAGACACAGGCCATCTCTTGTATCTACTTCACAGAAGTCCCCGCTTCCCTTCGCCAATCACATCCCAATGCTATGGAGGATAAGGACCATGGCTTGGGTCCGGGTCCCCTCTGACAAGAACTATCTGTGCATAACTGCTATTCATTGCTCCATCGTTCTCCCTGGAGGTGTTTACATTTTAATGTAAAGACAAATGTATGACAAAGATGACACAGAACACAATCCTCAACATGCTCTACATGGGAATGGAACGTGCTGAACACTGACTGATGGGGTACTTCAGGGTAGCATCGCCTCCAAAGTGAAGGCCCATGGTAGATAAGATCAGCTCCCTTCAGAAAGCCTTCCTTCCAGACCCAAAGGTTCAAAGGTTGCCAGTATGTTTCAGACACCAAGAAGCCCAGTGGCAAAAGAACGCCTAGGTTTTGTCTAATTGTTTTTGCTCTTTAGGTCCACCTGTGACTTTCTCAGGGGTGTTATAGGATGCGGGAGATATCGGAACATCCTGGCACAGTGATTTATGGTCCTCTCTGATAATGAGTTATCTGTGGAATCACAAAGGGGACAGGTGCCATTTGGGGGTGTGTGACAAAATATGGAGAGTCCCAAGAGAACCAAGGGTGGCTGGCTAGGATCAGCAGTGCCTAGAGAGCACACTTGCTTTTTTATTTGGTGTATTGCATACGTGCATGCATGTGTGACATGTACATGTACATGTGTGCACATGAAGACCCGAGAACACCCTCAGTTGTCATTGTTCAAGGGCTATGTACTTTTTTTTGAGACAGGCTCTCTCAGTGGCCTGGAGTTCCATTAGGTCAGGCTGGATGGCCAGTTAACCCCAGTTAACCCCAGGGATCTGCCTGTGTCTCTTTCTCCTGCACTGAAATTATAAGCAGCAACTAGTACATCTGGCTCTTTTTTTTTTTTAAATGTGGAATTTGGGAACTGAACTCACTTTACCAACTGAGCTATTTTCCAAGTTCGCATCATCTACTTAAACAGTATTCACATTTACTTGTGT